GATGAGTTAAATATAGATCAGCTACTTGAAGGAAAAGTCTTGGGTCATGACTTAGGCACCTGGGGGTCGTAACATAAAGCTTGCTAAGTTTTTGACTTAAGTAGGGTCATAATTATGTTTTAGGTGCAATCTTAAGACCTGCCTAAGTACTACTTAAGTATGTCTTAAACCGTAACATAAAACGGACTTAGGTAGGTCTTAGCTAAGTCAAACTTATGTTCAAAATATTTGTTATGAATCATCCTAGTTTTTTCAATATATTTATATATATATTTGTAAAAATGATTTAGTTACGTTTTTAATCACATATATATTAAAGCTGACGTCCTTACCTATCGGTTTTAGCTAGGTTAGATTAGATTTCGTATTTGATTAAAGTTAATTCTGTTAAAATTATTCGAAAAACAATGTATTTGAAAACAAATATTGCACGGTCATAGAATGGCACTAGTGGTTCATTGTAAATGAGTGAATATTGTTTATCACTCGAGACTGCGATGTTTTCAGTTTACCGTTTGTTGTCATTCTTTCGTTTGACAAATGTTCACTTGTTTTCAAATTGTGGCACGATAACCGAATGTCTATGTACTTGAAATTGAAACTCTAATAAAAAAAAAAAGTGCAAAACAATAGGGGTATTTTGAATTTTTTCCTCCCATATCAGCAAGCAGAGACTGCAGACGTTTTATTATATACTTATTTACAATTTAATGAAGGATGGAAAAGAATTGTTTTCAGAAAATTATTTTTTGTATATCTCAAACTTATCAACAATCTCTCTCTCTCTCTCTCTCTCTCTCTCTCTGAAACGTTAATGAACTCTGTCTGAATCCTCGCTTGTTGCGTTCTTCATTCAATCTAATTTACAGAAAATCTTTGTTTTCTAGTCATCATCCTTTAATTCACCGACAATTTTTAAAATTATTTCATTTTTTCACAGAGAACAAACAAATCCATGATTACTGTATACAATTTACTTATAATGATTAATGTTTATAACTTAAGTCCCATTAATATTTCAAACGTATTCCAAAAATAATATTTTGCATTTACATGTACATGTATATGTCATTTAGAGAGTGATATTGGAATCAGTGATAAATACCCCCCCCCCCCCCCCCCCCCGACGAAAAACTAAAATTCTTTTACCAGTATATTAAATATAGAAAATTATTTTTCAATGAATAATATAAATAGAGGAATGTTTTAATATAGAAATTCAACCTTAAATAGTTCTAAATATATGTTTAAGAAAGTTAAGATATACTTAAGTCACCTTTACTGGCCGCCTAAGTTTTGCTAAGATTGTCAAATCTTAGCACGTTTCTAGTTACGGTCTTAAGTTTAAGACTGTACTTAAGTCCTATTTAAGCATGGTCTTAGACTTAAGTACCCTTTATGTTACGACCCCCTAGTAACAAAATGTCGACATTGTTGCATCTACACTCAGTCATGCTTAGCGAGAGTTTTTCGTACTTTTTTGCACCACAACACAAAATAACTTCTAATAAATATAACATTCGCATTTCGAAACTTTTTAATATTTACAAAAACAATAAAGAATCTTTTTCTTTTTTATTAATGCAGGGAAATCCCCACTATTTTCACTGTGTGAGTCGGTGCTAAGATATTTGAATCGAACGAAAAGTATTAATTTCGATGTGGCCACACCCCTCGAACACAATAAAAATATACTTTATTTATTCATATTTTAATCCTCTTTTCAATGGCATAAATTTTATTTTGTTCGAAGGGTGTGGCCACAGCAAAAATTTGAAACAAAGACGGAAAAAATGCTTTATTTTGGTAAAAACTAGCAAAGTGCACGTGTTAAGACGTTTTCTGTACAAATATGACGTCATCAAATAAAAAATGGCATAAACTATATAAGTTTGATACCCAAGGATAATATTTCTATTGTTAATTTTCTTCTTCCCCTCAGTTTAATTTTCCTGGAAAAAAGGCCTATTTAGCCCCTTCGTGGATTTAGCTCTTTCTGTGGCTAGAAAGAATTTAATCCGGGGTGTGCTCCTTGTCATGATCGGGCAAACGGAAAAAAAAACGTAGACAATTCAGTGTGTAAATTATTGCCTATAAATTAGTATGAAGAAGCTAATTCAGAAAATTTGTGTCCTCCGCTTAAGGAAAAAGAAGAGAATGCGCAGATCTAGGGGGTAGGGGGTCGTACCCCCTTCCCCCTGGATTAACAGAATTATTAAATGTATACATATATGCTGAAGCAATTAAAAAATGCCAATATGGATATGTAGATTTGATTGCTTATTCTTTAATATGTGTACAGAAGATTCATTTTATATAAAATATTTTTCACACTGTAATAATGATTTTATGAGGAGTTTGTACACGTCAGACGTCGTAACTTCTTCATTTCATATGTTGAATAATGAATACTATCATTAAGTAAATCGAGAAACATACATTTCAAAAATAAGAAAAACGGGCTCGTGTGGGATTTGTATCCGGTTCCTCTCATATGCTAAGACAGAATCATACCCCTAGACCAACGAGGCGCTTGTTTTTGAAGCACATTAAATGCAAACAATAGGTCACATTATATAATACCGTATAACGGGTATTTTCTGCGGTTCGAAATTTTTGCGATTTAACCCCTGAAAGGTTGCAAATTAATTTCTGCGTTTTCAATTTCTGCGGTTGCACTATACCGCAAAAATTATTTACGGGGTATGATCATGCACTAAACTTTATGAATTATCAGAACGCTATTATGTTTACGTTTTATAAATTCATTAAGACATATTGATCAAAGGTGCATGAAAACTGTTATTAAGCTATTATGCTTAATTAAACTACTATCTTTTAGTTAGTTTTTGTAAAAATATTTCGTGTACCAATTGAAATGAATTAATGCAGTGTCATTCCACCCAAACAACAATACAAATCTTTATTCTAACAGACGTTTTATGCGATCTATTAAAATACTAGTATTTAAATATATGTAGATAATGATAATAAATGCATCCAAGCCATATTCTAAAATACATTTCTAGTTAACAGCCATCAAAATTAATTTGGTGTTTATATTCTAAGCTAAAACAAACAGTTGCATAATGAACTACCCAAAAGTTGACGGTTAACAATCACAGGTGTCATGTGCATTGAGGCGTAACTAATCCTGTCAGTCTTATGCATTAGGTGAAATTCACGAGAAATCGAGCCACATTGTGTATATACAAGCAGTAATTATTGTCTCAGTATAAAACACATGTTTAAAAAAGAAAAACTACTATGTGTTGTTTGCAGCTATCGGTGTTTGGACTAATAATTGCGAAATAGGTACAAGTAAAGATGTTTTTGTATCAACTTATTTAATTGATGTTATTTACAGCTAGGAAGGGATTGATTCAATATGTTTTGGACAAATCCTGACATCTAAAATCTTCGAAATTCGATGACACCCGAATGTGGCCACTCATGAGTCTGCGGACGCATCGATTTTAAAAACCTTGCGTTCCAAATAATTTTGCGGTGTCCAGTACGCAGGTTCTTACGTTAATGAGAACCCTGCCAGACATACGCACCACTTATCATAATTGCATGTACAAAATACCTGAATGAATATTGAAAAAAATATTTTGCGATTGTAATTTTTGCGGATTTGTCCTATCCGCAAAATTCCGCAAAAATTGGACAACGGCAGAAAATACCCGTTATACGGTAATTATATTCACGTTCGATATTGTCAAATACAACATATGGTGTATAATTTAGCCTTTACGAAACAGTTCTAATAGATGTAATTAGAATATAAGGTCCGCTGACAACCTCTATTATATGCATTAACTCTACACATGCTTCTTTGCTAAAAATAGTGCCACACGACTTTTAATACAATAAAAAAGAAGGGGGCAGGACTTTATGAGAGGGGCGAAAAAGGCCATAGGGAGTTATGGTATACAAATTCATTGCAAAAGCCCAAAACTTTTTGAGATATCGTCCGGAAACAAAGGTGTTACACACAGACAGAATATATGAGTTTACGACCTTGGCCTTTGACCTTTTGACCTCAAAATCAATAGGGGTCTTTCTCAGGCCACAGGAAATTGTTGTGTAAATTTTCATTGCAAAAGCTTAAAGGCTTCTCGATATATCGGGGGGAAACCATAATGTTAAAGCAGACATAAATTATGAGTTTTTGACCTTGACCTTTGACCGTATGACCTCAAAATCAACAGGTTTCTTCCATAGACCATCAGAAGTTACTATGTAAAATTTCATTGCAAAAGTTTAAAGGCTTCTCGAGATATCGCGCGGAAACAGAAGTGTTACAGACAGACAGAAATAAAGACGGACGGACAGACGGAGGACAGATAGACCGAAATTAATATGCCCCACTTTTATTGAAAGCGGGGGACAAAACGTCAGTCAGCATCCTTCTTAACAATAGATTGTATTTGCTGACAAAGTCATTATACATGTACGGACCAAAGAACTTGTTATATGTTGACTTTAAATGAGTCTCTTTCCATCCTTCATCAACGTGTTTGTCAATAAATAGTATTCAAAGTAAAATACACCGAGGACATCTATTTATGTTAAGGAACTTATGTTTCAGGGAAAAAAAATCTATTGGATTCAAATTTGACATTTTTTATTATACTTTTGTTTAAATTCTATACATCCTTATCAGCATGTGTTTTGAAACCTTCTGTATTGCGGTGTTCATGATTATCAATTAGTTATTGATAACGAATAAATGTTATTTTTCTTGAAGAACAACCATTTCAACAATTCCTAGGAAAAAAAAGAAATCAAATTGGCCATTGTTAAGGAGTTTAAACCCGACAAAAGAAATGCATAAACTCATGTTTTTAATGTCTCCAAAAGGGAAATATATTTGCCTTTCATTGGTAATTCTGTGTCTAGTGGTTCGGTCAAGTTGGGGTCAGAATTGTGAAAGGTAAGACTTCATTTTATTAAGACACTATGACAATCAAATATCATTAACTAAGAATGTCCGAATGGGAACTATGGTGAAAATTGCTCAGATGCCTGCCCATATCCCTATTTCGGAGAGCTCTGCAGACATAAATGTAACTGCTCGTCAGCCTTTGCCATAGGGCTGGAGGATGCTTTCCCGAAGACTCCAGTTAGTAGATGGATATCATATATATTTATTGAAAGCATATTTGTATTGAAATTTCTTGTGTAGAATATTTTTTATCCAATCAAATTATAGGTGTTATTTTTGACATATTTTTTCTCGAAGTGGTTCTGTTGTGGACACCATGTTTGCATCAAATCTTAGTTATTTGCATTTAAAATTACTTTAATGAAATGGAAATTATTGTTAATCCTTTAAAAAGTCCAGGTCTACATTTGTTATTTTCCATGCTCTACAAATAAATAAATGAAATAGAAAACATGAATGTTACTGCTGTATACATCATGAATGCATAAAAAAGGTTCACATTTTCTCAATCTAAACAATTTTTCGCTTCTTTTCAACAGGAAGTACACTTTGTGATGGGTATGTTCTATTATAACAAAGTTTGAATAAATAGATTTGTATTCGTATCTGCTTTACAATTAAAATCTCTTTTCTAAGTGTCATTTTTGGGTTTATTTTATATAGACGCAGGGGTGTTACATGTTGCAGTAATTACTGGTATAAAAAGGACAGTCATTAATGTGTTGGTAATTAAAAGGATAGATAAATTATTTTAAACCTTTTTGTATATAAAACATGTACTTGATGTTTTGTCGTATCCAATATTTGCCATGAAATATTAGACAATCATTGGACAATGTTTTTTTTTAGCTTTTGATTTATGTATGTCAATACCTCGAGAAATCTTCATTTGAATAGTTTTTTGGAATAAATGACAATCCATTTCTGTGCCTTTGGTGCATGGCATGTGTAAATCCACGCAATGTTCGTTTTGATTTCAAGCAACTTATGATAAGAATCTATGAAATACCTTTTCAATTGTAGAGTGCAATCCAGGATACTTTGGTTTCAATTGTACGGAGATGTGTCCATTCCCAGTTTATGGTATACGCTGTGAGCGGAGGTGCAAATGTTCTGTAGAAGATTGTAGCCCTGCTACAGGATGCTCTATACCAAACAGCAAATCTAACGGTAAGGATCAAATCAATGCTGTTGTTATCTTATGCTGAGATTGTCCTTTGTGTGCATGATTATATTGAAAAGCTGATTAAAACCATCAATGCTTAAAGTCAATCAGATGAAGAATCTAAAAAATAAGATAAATTAATAAACAAATAACGTTTAGCTGATTCACTCATACAGCTATTTAAATCCGTCAATCATCGCTTGTTATATACTGGTGTCTCATAATATCGCGGTACTTATTTCTTTTGCATAAAAAAGTTATTCCAAATTCTTACATTAACTTTTCACCAAATACTATTCATAAACCTATTAATGGCCTAACTTTTTAGTGGCTAATTATTTTCTAAGCTTTCTTCGTTTACTTTGTATTCTATTTTTATAACAGGAAGTCTTATTTACCTCCAAAAGTGGAGAGTCTCATTGTATCGCGGTATTGAAAACATGGAGGTTAGGCACGGTCACAAAGTACCATTTTTATTTTTTTTTAATTTATGATGTAAATCTTCATGAAAACTTAAGTATAAGACAAACTTAAGGCTTTCAAAATATGAACTTTATTATGGATTTTACTTGGTTATATATTCAATGGTCTAAATAAAATAAAAACGGGAATGGAAATCTGTAAAATTTCGTTTTATTTGAATAAATATTTTTTCAACGAGTGTGGCATACTTTTTAATCATCACAAAAGTCAACATTCAGACGACAGACAGATAGTCCGTCAAGAAAAAAGATATGAGCTATGTATCCTAATTTTTGGGAAATACCGCGATACAATGGAACCCGCGATATAATGAGAATTAAGGATATTTTAATATGATAAAAAAGTCTAGTTAGTGACTTTCATGTTTGAGATATACAGATTACACCCAATCTGCGATTCAACACCTTTATTGCAAAACAAGTTAAAAAGGGTCTGTTATATTCTTTATATCTGTAAAAGTTTGGCTGTTTTTATAACAGAGTTGAATATACAGTAGGTTTTTTTTCCTAGGCCGAAATGCAACAATAAAATAAATACTTGGTGGTTCATTTTGATTTAATTGGCCACATGTATACACGTTTATTTCTTACTGTGGAATTTAAACTGTGACCAATATTGTTTAACAACCAAATGTGGGATGAGTGGTGTTTAAGAGATCTTTAAAATTTTATCACAATTATGTTAGGAAATATTGATAATGTTAAGATAATATAACAGAAAAACATTTTGAATAAAAGAAACAATATTATGTATAATTTCACTGTACATTATGGAAGATCTACAAAATAAAAGAAGTCTGCTTTTTAGGTAAGTATGTCATTAATAATTTTTGTCTACAATTAATGATGTTTTTGTCTTGGTTACAGGGCGTAATAAAATAAGAATTCAGATGTATCTCATATATGAAGTTCCATATATTAAGTGTGAAAATTTCTCGAAAGGGACGTTACACAACAACATACGTGAAGAAATTTAAAACAAATTATAAATCAAGCACTTTTTTTCGGTTAAACTGTAATGACACACCAAAATTTAAGCTGAATATCATACATATGGGGAAAAAAACCCAAAAAGAATATTATGATAGAGTTTATTATTTTTCAGATACCAAGTTTCTGATTGATAAAAATGACGAGTTTACCCAGAAACGTTTTTATCTTGTCGTTGTTGCATACGTCTTTGGAGGTGTTCTTATGGTTTTGGTCCTAACCTTTATTTGGATTGAACTGAGTCACAGAAAAAGAAGAACAAATAATGAGCATAAGATAGCTACGGAAAATGTGCCAGCGTATCATGAAATTATAATGAGTGAAGATGGGGGTATTTTTATCTCAGAAAATGAACATATTTCAAATGAAACCACAGCAGCGGGGTTGTAATCCGCACAGTAAATGAAAAATGCAAAAATAGCTACTTTATAGGCGATGAGCAAAATAAAGCAATAGCAAAAGACATACAAAATGTTACTTAAATACCAATTATACCGCAGACAACAGATATCAATGTAATCAAAAAACCTGTTTTTACAGGGAGGACCCCCCCCCCCCCAAAAAAAAAAAGAAACGTCAATGGTCGATTCATGTTTAGTAAGATTTGTACGACATGAGATTATTTTAAGGCATTCGAACGTCAGTAATAGTGAAAATTGTCTTGTTTGATGTTTGAATTAGAATAATTAGCAGTTTGATTAGTCAACCAGCAGAGAATTAAAGTGCAAAGACACGGCTATCTTTGTTAAATTCTGAATTTTTAATCATGTGTAGATATTATTCCTATTAATTTGAAAAGTGCTGGAGCTAATTGTGCATTGTTTATTCATTTCGTAATGTTACATTATTCCAAAGTGTATTACATCTATATCTGGAGTTTATAGAAAGACGGCTAAATTTACACAATTCCTGAGCATGAGGAAGTTGCTCCCAGCACTTTTCATGATAAGGAATTTGTCTCAAACAAAAAAGAATAAATTATATAGCGGAAAGATACCCGTATATTTTCCTAGAACTTTTACGACCTTTGTAGTGGTATATATATATATTCTAATTTAAAACCTGTCACGTGACAAACAGCTGATGTAAGCGATGTTGCTTTGGCCGAACTCAGCAGAGACCCGATATATACAAGTGCAAACACCACAATTCACATTCCTCAAAACTAATGCAGTTAAAATAATATATTAAGAGCCATTATCTGTAATGACTTCAACTTTTATATAGGAGCTGTGGCACGCATAGTCTCATAATTTCTCCAAACTCTCTATGATAAAAGTGTTTGATACAGTAAACTCAAATCAGGCAAAAATTGCTTGCTATGTGTCATGGTTACCACAGCAACATGTCCTAAAATCTGAAAAATGGCATTTTTCAACTTGTTCAGAGTCCCATAGTTAACATTTGCAGCAAAGCAAACAAGTGGCAATGACTGTTTCTAAAAGTCGAAGGCCTTATGTCTTAAATGCATGATAAACATGTTTGGTAAATCATCTATTACATACGTTACTATGGAAACAAAGTATTCAAAAGTAATAATTTTGTTCATTTAATTTTGTAAAGTCATACACTTAAGAATAAAAACAATTGTAGGTTGAAATGCAAGCAAATAATAGACAAGAGATCCTTGTAACATATACCAAGGACGAAATATGATATTTTTTATAGGTTGGCAATGGTTGCCATGGTTTTAATACCACAAAGGTATTTTAAATTTACTTTCTTAGTGTTTTAATCTTATCCTATCTTTTTAAAAAGCATATTTCTGCATAATTAATGATCAATCTTTAAAGGCGCTGGTGTGACCCTAATTTTCACATTTCAAAAAATTCAAATTCATTTCTTTAAATAGAGCGTTGTTATGGAGATTATCCGAAAAAAATATGCATAAAAATCTGAAAAATATTTTGTTTCTTTGGATACGTACCCTTGTATGTAGCTTCCCAAACCCTTTATGAAATATATATATGAACAACTAACCTGACTTTCAATTTTGACTACCACCCAATCTCTAACTGGATGCAAAAAGCTTGTACATAGGATTTAATATTGATAAAAAATTAACAAAATCGAACATTTTCCCTTCTTGGTAACCATTGCAACAGTGTTGTATTTTTCAACAAACTTTATCAATTTATGATATTCAACTATAGTTCTACCAGATAAGTACTATTCAATGTGAGTCAAATAATATGTTTCTTGATTAAAAGCTAAGTAAATTCCTAAAGCAGCAAAAAGTATCACTTTAAACAACTGGTAAGTTGTTTCCATGGGTACATTGCAAAGTAACAATTAATTCCAATATTTCTTATGTTATTGGTGTTGCAAGTTCCTAAGGATGTTTATGTGCCAGTCATGAATTCTATTGTTTTTCCTCAAGATAGTAGCATTAACCCAATCTTAGCAACAGATTTTGCATGGTTATACTGTGTTACCATGGCAACCATGAAAGTTATTTTAAGAATAATATTGCCAATACCTAATCACTTAAGGTAAGATATTTTTATTGTTTTTCTTTTGTTGTTGATTGAGTTTGATCATGTAACATCTATCATTAGTGAATATTGACCGTTTTTCAGCATTTTTCAGCATCTAAAATGTACATGTATTCCAAATGTACCCATGCTTATCACTTACTTAGAGATAAATTCTAAATAGTTACTTTATAGCATAAGTGGCAACAAGGTGTCATGTTTTTGTGAGAATAGTTTGTTTGTTTTTCTTAGTCTTTATAAAGGTTTAATAAAGATTCAAAGTAGCTGAAAATCTCAATTTTTTTCATCTTTTCTGGCTGTTACCATGGCAACCAAGACACATAGCAACGAAGTTTTATTTGATATATGTTTCTGGTGTAATAATGGGCAAAGTTTCATCAAAATCGGTGACCATTCGTGGCAAAGAAGTTTAAGTGGTTACAGAGAATCGCTAATAAATTTTTATTCATTTTCTAGGAATATTTTTAGGAGAGAGAGAGAGAGAGAGAGAGAGAGAGAGAGAGAGAGCTAGCTGAGCAAGGCAGAGTTGTATGGATGTAAATTTCAAAACATGTCTTTGAAATTTTATTTTTAAATTAATTTTTTTCAGTCTCTTTTTTCCTTACTATTTGACATCTTGGTATGGGGATTTTAATTTGAACAGGAATGTCACTTCTTAATATTTGTTTTATCGAAATATATGTAAAAAATACAGGATCGTTTTACGGGTATATACACAAAGACTTCAAACATCTTTAAACTTCCCCTTTAAAAAATGGCCGAGATAAAAGCGTTTCTTTTTTTTTCTCTCTAATTTTTTTGAATTTATAAATTATTTTACTGAGACAATTTAGCTCTATTTGTTTCATATTGATTTATTTCTTCATTAAAAATCTTAATCAATTTGCATTTACAAGACTGATATATTTTTTGACATTACGAGATTCAGTCTACTCATGAAAATATTATTCTCTTGTTTCTTAATATAAAATAAAAGATGACTTACAATTGTTCATGTGAGCAGATGTCATAAAACTATATTTTCGGTTATTAATACCAAATAACTATCTCACAAAAGCTCTTTCTGTCAATCCCTTTCTAAAGAAAAACAATGTATTCTATAACGTTTTAATGTGAAATATCAAAATGTGCTATAAAATTGAATTATCATAAATTCAAAGGATATACTAAAATATCATTGCAGGAGACATATTGAAAAAATAGAAAAATTTCCATGATATTGCAAAGTCTCACACGTTGCGTTAATATTTCATAATCTTTTCCTTATGAAAGTGTTTTTCCTTCCTACGACCTTAATTTCTATTAAAAGGTTAGCCACATTTCTTTTCATATTTATTTTGTCACATGCTTTACCAAGAACAATATGGAAATTACACAAAAAATCAAATATTTATTATACAAATATCATAAGCTGACTAAATGCAACACGCAATATTCTTAAACAATGAATAATGACATGGAGTTCCGCATTGATATTGATTAATTAAATGAAGAAAAAGGAAACTGAATTGAAAGCGGTTTGACTATTTCTCAAGGACAGAACAAGTAAAATTTTGAACTTTTCTCTTGTTGATTTTTTGTTCTGTGTTGAATCTCTTTAGGTACAGAAATTTATTGAAGTTTTTGGATTTATTTTTAAATGTACTTTATATAAAATGTGATAACAGCAAATTAAACTCTGTCCGACACAGAAAAAATATATTTAATACATAAACGTATATTTATACACAATGACACAATTACTAAAGATATAATAAAATTCTTCTGACAGTATTTCTTCACTGAACATAATTGTCACATTTTTAATTTTGAAAAAAAAAAAAATTGACTCTTAAAAGCGAGAAATATATGAGCAAATTCTTGCTGTTTTTCAACATTTCACAGAGAGAAGTATTTAATGACGTTTATAGAATCTACATGTAAAATTTCTTACATAATTAATGTAACAACAATTTTCAGGATTTTTATCAAAATTTTCATTTGAATGCCCTTATAATTGGGACGTCATGTCCAATTTTCACCATATCATTAATTTTATAATATTTTTAGAAACCAAAATCTACTTTAAAATTGAATGTGCAGTTTTTATTCTTTTTTTTTAGGCAAACACTTGCATTAGAAAAAAAAAACACGAACAAACACACCTCTATCTACTTACGTATAAATCTAAAATCTGAAAAAGCATAAGAGATCATGTTTATAATGACGTTGTATTCTTTGTTTCAGACAGTAGGCTATTTTGGAAGAAAAACCAAGTCCGTGCAAGTTATGTTTAAGATTTCCCCATCGTCCTTCGTCATAATACGTCATGGTATTCATTCTATCATACTGAGAGTTTGAATACGTGATAAATCCCATACAAACAGTGAACTATATATGAATATATATCAGTTGAAGCAGATATGTCATTAAACCCGTTAATAGTAATATTTAACTTTCTTTTTGTTCCTGAATTATTTTTTTTTATTAATAAAACACTTTATTATCGTTGTTAATATTTATTCGGAATGAGAAACCTTACACAGGGAAAAATGCATGATTTACGATCATACTTTGATAAAAGTCGGACATTTGCAATTATCGTGATGCATATAGGATAAATAACAATTTATGATTTCTGAAATCAGCTTATAAAAGATATGCTTAAAGGTATTAAGTTTATCATCATTACATTATGCACTATTACAAAATTATATTTTAATTCAGGAAGTTTTTGTTTCAAATTAAAATCATTTGTACATTCAATATGTGTCATGATTAATATATACAAAATTAATCAGATTGAATTCCATTCTGTGTCCTTCCGCATAATTGTACAAACAAAGTTATTGCTTGTTTTGAGCGTGCGGAATAAACTGTGACATGTTGAACTTAATTATATTCAGAAAAAAATAT